TGTTAAATATGTAAATGTACTTTTTAAAAGAGTGTATAAGTACTGATATAAAATCTGAAATATGCAAACATGTCTCCTTCCACATGGATCGAAATTAATAATTTGTTTCTTCCAATTCAATCTATCGATATTTTAACTCCTCTTATCTTTACCATTTTATACTTTATCACTCCTATGAATATCTTTATGATTTCTGTTTACCAATATTTGATATAGATGTGAGGTGTGCTTCAATTTTAAGGCAATTTTTGCAGTGAGGGCTGTCTTATGAGAACATTTTTTATTACAGATTAAAAGCAGTTAACAGGTGGGAGGAAGTTCTGTTTAAGTCCATATGTCTATTACTGATGTTGGCATTAGAATATCATTGTATTTTTGTCCATAGTCTCTGGTGATATTTAAATACCTTCTTAAATGTTTTTCAGAATGACAGCAGAAAGTTTTCCAGGAATAGCTTAGTTAACGTATGGCCTTCTGCACAAAAGCTTTGGAGGAAACAAAACTCTGACCACATGCTTCCATCTCCTGGGAGATCTTTCATCTGGCAGACATCTTCTAGCAGTGTAACCCTTAGCTCCATTCATTGTGTGAAGTCTCAAGTAGAATGCAAAACATACAGCACAAAGGAATGGGGACAAATGGACGTTCTCTCCTGGCTCCAACCATGGCATATCAAGATGATGAGTTTGCACAGGGGAGGATTTAACATGGAAAGCTGAGCCTAGCATGTATGTTTGTTATTGTGGTAGGTTTAAAACAGGTATTTATTTAAAAAGGATACTTACAAGTTTGCAGTGGGCTAAATAATGGCCCTCCCAACATTCCTGCCTTCCTCCCTAGAGCTAATGATTGTTACTCTGTACGGAGACAGGGAACCTACAGGCATGTTCATGCTGAATTATATAGGTAGACACAGGACAGTCACAATGGTCTCTTTATGACAGTAGGAGATCAGAGGCAATTGTTGCACTGAGGGATGTCAGAGATTGGTGTGAGGTACTGTGGAGGTGGATGAAGCTAAAGATTGTAGGTAGCAATAGAAGCTGAAGAGAGCAAAGAAATCAGGGAGAAAATAAATTTGTGTTGTATTTGGAACACTAAATGTGTAGAGCTTCATTACAGCAGCTATAGGAAAGGGAAATAAACCAGTTCTGTTCAATTTAGTTGACATTAAAAGTTTCTCAGAGCCAGAAATTAATTAACATATGTGAGCATAACCTTGAGGTGAAATACATCAAACAGATTTTTGAAGTTATAGGAAATATTTTTAAAGAAAATTGACCCCCAGCCTGTTCAATAGGCCTATTTGAGGAACTTAAGAAATGCACTGTGTGTATCCAGGAAGCCCAATGTATCAGTTTTTTTCTGTCATTTGATAAGGACTTTTGAAAGTATTGGTTTAGTGTTAGAAATGCATCTCGTCAATAGGTCTTGGGCAGTGGCAATGTACTGAGTTGTTAGGCAACCATGCTGCTGCAATAACTTTCTATTTAGTGTTGTGCTATATCGGACTGAATCTCCTCAAAGGTACACTATAGGTCATGATGCAGTCCCCAATGGCTTCCTTAAATTATTTACAATTCTTTCCAATTTCCTGAAATATCTTTTTCCTTAGAGGAGGCTGAAGATGCTCATTACAAACTCCTCAACGTTTCTCCCATTAAAAAAAATTAAGAATTTGTTGAAGAGTTTTACACTTGAGCATATTGTTTAAAATATAATCCTTCCTTCTGTGTGACAGCCTCACACAAACAGAGTATTTAAAGAAAACGAAGGTCTGTCATTGCTCTGCTTAATTAGCAGAAACTTTTAGAATTAAAAAGATGTTTTAAAAAGTAAAAGAACTTGAGGAGAACTTCAGTGTGATCATGGTAACTGTCTGACTTCACATCAGAATTTCAAGTCAAAATTCCATTTATAGGTGTCATCTGCTAGAACCGGTCAGTTTCGTTTCATATTTTGAGTTTTTCTCCAGTTACACTTTCAAATCAGATGGTGGAACCCACAAGCATGCCAAGAGATTTAGATTTGTTTCTAAGAGAGCACGTGACACAACAGCTTCCTTTATCAACTGTGGCCGTGGATGTGCTCAGCCTCCTTTGTTCAGATCTAAATTATTTACCATCACCTCGCCCTTGCCTTCATGAAGGACATGTGTTTATTTTTAATGGTCTGCACTCTGGGAAATAGTTCCTAATATTTCTAGTTAGGTTGAACATACATAAATATACATTCTAGTCATGTTTAAAACTTACTCTCCACTATGACTAACATTTGCAATCTTGCAAAGATAACTCATCTGAGATACCAATAACTTTATAATGATTAGAAGACAAAATGTAGGATTTAGGAGGTATGGAATTATTAAAGTAGTCCTCTACATAAAGACCAGGATAGATCTGTGTAAGGCGCACTATGGGAGTAGACTACAGATCCTAAAGACTAAGTCACACAACAAAATAGCTCCTGCTGACCATGTGCTACATGCAACACTACATGGGAATAGTTATTGTTACTTAAGTGGGCTTATCCTTTGTGTTTCTTTTTATTTTGTTGACTGGGGGAAAGTATACATTTTAAATTTCAATAATGTAAAAAATATCTTATAATTACTTCAGAATAGGGTTTTTCTTTTTCCTCTTTATATGAACATTTGAGATACCCAGTGAGACTTTAAGACCAGAAAAAGACTGTATTAATACCTTTGCCAATGTTTTGCTCATCTTCAGAGAGGCTTTTGTCATACTTTGACTATAGTACTAGTCACTCTAACAATTTTTTTCTGTAAAAAATTAACTAAGAAATTATTCCATTGTGACTAATAGTCAAATTATACATTAGAGTTCAGTGTCTTTTCTGTAACTAAATTGGCAGTTTACAGAGATAATACTACCAAACTTTACAAGGAAGAAGGCATGACAAATTTGAGATAAATACTAAAACTTCTGATTCCATCATTTTATGTACACATGAGAACTGGGAGTAACTTTTGGTATGACTGAAGAGCTGGCCTCTCAAGCCAACCAGCTGCTCACTAGGTGGCCATGTAGAGCATCCCTACCTGCTTCCCAAACTGATCAATGAGTAAAGCAACCTATACAAAAACATTTATATAGAGATGTATGTGCTAAGTCTTGTACTTTCATAATCTTCTTCTGGCAGGAGTACAAAAATATATTTTATAAAACAGCAAGAGGCCTGCTACATTATGGGTTTTCAACAAATTTATTCATTCTTTTACCCAATTGACTGAATAAAAATCTAGTAAATATAGAAATCTACTAAAATTAAACTGTTCTTGGAATATTCCATAGAAATTGACTAGACAACACTAATCTAATGAGACTTCACTATAGCTACACTTACTACAGACAGCATTTTCTAGCTTTGTGAGCCTACTTCTTTCTTTAACTGTACAACAGATGCACCAATTAGTCTAAGCATTTAAAGTGTGTGTGTGTGTGTGTGTGATATACAACTTTCCTGTGTGTATATACAGACCACCTTGAGAGTAGTAATTAAATTCTAATAAATTTCCTAATATAATTAAAATGAAAAATCTAATAAATGTTAACCAGAATATGAAAAGGAATAAATTGCAATGCTTTCTAATATTTGTATTATAACCTTATTATATTTTGTCTTCAGAAGTTTCAAACGTATCTGTAAGCCAATTAGCTAAAAATGTCTCCATCAACTTGCTCGCCACAATACAGATAGTGTTTCAATTTTAAAGAAAATTAGTTACCTCTGAACAGTAAATAAGGGTAAAAGACACTCAGATAATGAAATTCAGTTCATAGAGACACTCATGTCTTATATTTGATAAGGATTTATTTAAAAAAAATAATGAATAATTTGTTTTTTAAATGATAAGGACAAAGCTCATTGGAAATATAAGAAAATCTTCTCAACAATTTGAAATAAAAGGTTTAAACCTTATATACTCTTAACAAAATAGTAATTAACCATAGATGACAGATGCTGCTCCCTAGTCAATGGAGACTCTCAAGTTTTACTCTGCATCTCATTGGGAAGGAAATATAAATTTTTAAAATAGAATTAACTTGGGGGAAGGCATCAGAGCTGCAACTCTTAGCACCAAATGTTTCTTCTTGGAGTACCAAATGCTTTATGGAAAACATTCCAAGTATCAAAGTTTTCAGATAGATAAATATTTATGGATCAAATCCATAAAGAACAGACATTGTTATGAAATATATATAGATGCCTTCAAAACTTTCTTTCTAGGCAGAGGAGACACATAAGTTAGGAGTCATTTCCCACTTAATTGCTTTTGCAACCTTATGTAACACAAATGGATGATGGACAAGACTCATTTGTTTGTACAAAGAAGGAGCGCTTGACTGCCATCATGTCCAGATCAATCACACGGGAGCTATTGCTATGTATGAAAAGTGTCACATAGAGATTCTCAATGTCCTTTGCCAAGAAGATTAATTTTAAAAACAAATTCTTCTCATCTTTGCTAAGACCTGTGATTAAAGCATAACATTAATCTGGTTCATAACTTTAAGGGCAATGAAATTCCATCTGTCTTTGAACCTTATGAATGATACTTTTTCAGTCTATGTATAGACTTGTGACTCACCCTCCTCATTTACAGCTCTTTGTTGTATTTTATTACACATCCTCCAGCCAGTGCAACAAATCTCAAGAAAGCTATCCTGCCATTTAAAGGCAGAGGTTTATTTACATTCCTCATGGTGCAAATATGCTACATAATTCTGTAAAACTTTGAAGTGGTTACCAAAGAAACATAGCCAGAGCTTCTGTAGTATTTTTGATGCTCTTAAAATATTACCAATGGGTGTGCCTGCACCAGATTGTACCCGTAACATCAACCATGAATCAACTGTGAACATGCTGGACATTATACAATGGAATAGAATTCCATCTTGTTACCAACCAGAGCCATTGTGTATCCAACCCAAGAAAGCCTAAGCTCCATGTGATCTTAAAGAAACTGATAACAGAGACACAGGTAAAAATTTTTATTCACTACTATGGGGAGGTGTGACTTTGGATCCAGCCAGTCAGTGACATAAATAAGGTTGAGCAAAAAGATTGAAGCTAGAAAGTGTTGGTGTGTGCATTTGTATATTTATATGTGTGTAAGGCTTCTTGGAACAGTGCCACAAACCTGGACATCAGTGAAAAGTATCACTGCAGTCCTTTGAAATTTCCATGAAGAGTACAATGTGGGTAATTATACGAGGATGCTCTAAATCGCTCTTTCCATCTCATGCACTCACATGCCCGCCAAACATGAAGCGTTCGCCTTCTCCCTTCCAAAGTGATGGTTGTTGAACTTATTTTTAGTGTCATTTGATAAGCCTTTGTGCTCGCAGAGAGACATCCCACTGACCCGGCCACTGGTCATTGTCTATACCAGTTCACATCAAAGCAGGCGCGCTTTGTCAGGTTTCCAGTCGAATATCCATTTCGCATCTGAAGTACAGTATCGAAAGTGACTAGATTATCTGAGCTATTTCCTTCAGCTGCTGCCACCTTCCTCCCCCACCGTGTTTCTCACGCTAACATAATTTGGCATCGTTGACGTGACATGATGGTGATATTTCTAAAAATTTATAGTATGTATATTGTCAATCCTTTCTGATGGCGCCCTCCTGATTTTAATTTATAAACTGAAGGAAAGAGGTCTTTTTCCCAGGTTCAATCACAACCAAGGTGCGGTGCTCCTCAATTTCTAAGTAACATGCATACAGTGATAGGTCATTCAATGTCAAAAGGCATAAAAAAGATGAGCAAAATCTTCACAGGCTGCTGCTTGCTGTTGCCTTTAATTATATTAATTAAACTTTGAGATTTTCATGCAAAGAGAGTTGCTGGCTTGTGACGCTGAAGAGCCCTTGGAGACTTGAAGGAAGAAAAAACCCTGAGCGGAAGCTTTGTGGTTACAGCTTCCTTAAATTAAAAGCCAAACAAACACCTAGGTGTGTTTACAGATATTAATTCTTTATGCACTGCTAAATCCCAAACACTGAGAAAGCGGAATCTACCAGGCTGTGGACAAAGTCTCAAATCACAAGTCCTTATGCTGCACTCCAGGTCTTTGGTTGGAGGCGGTCTTCCTGTTGGATTAACGCTCTATTAATTCTCTTGTCTCAAGTGCATAATGAAAGAAAGGTGTCTTGGGAAACTAAAGGGCAAAATCCTGCACGCATCCAGTACCTTGAGGCATCTTGTCTACATTTTGTCATGCGTGTGCACTTTCAGTGTAACAGTGACAAGATTTTCTAGTCAGAAATTTCCTGTAAGGCACAAAGTAATGGAGGACTTGGAAAGGCTTTGCTATCTGACATAGCTACGAGGCAGTGGACTCCATTATCTGTTTAGCCTGGTAAGAAATTTCATATTTTGCTTGTAGCTAAAGATCTTGCCAAACAAAAGCGTACGCGCCATGCATCCATGTCAGAAGCACCAGTTTCCATTGCAAACCTGCGTGGCTGGTGGATTTGCAGTCCTGGCTTTGGTATCATTACATCATCGATGTGTCTGCTTTGTCCTCTTATACAGGCAAATGAGCTCTGCATAAACCATAGCATGCAAATTAACATTCCTTGGGATTTTCAGTGTCGTGAATCACGGGCTATCGCCGATGACTTTCATCACCTCTCATGTCGATGGCAGAATAAGTGTTCGAAAATGTTTAGTGCACAGATAGCAGAAGGCAGAGGAAACATTTCCTGACAGAGAGAAAATGGGCTGTTGTCCCAAGAACTTCTGAGATGCACTGGACTGTCCATTCTGTTGGAAATCAGCATCATGAAAATACACTGTCTTCTTATCTTCTCAGTCTTCGTGCTCCTGTCTTATTGATGTGGAACCCGGGAGAAGTTTATGCATCGGCCCTGAGGAAAGAAGGAATCCATGGTGAAATAAGGAAGCAGTTGTTTGAAAGTCAAGGATCAATCTACCTTCCATAGCAAGATGTAGCTGATGACACTCAAGCTTAGAACAATGTCCAAATCAGTCACAAAGTCGTATTATTTTCCCTAGCCCAAGACAGTATGGCACAGATTTTATTTTATTTATTGTGTACAGAAAGTTTACTTATTTGATGGTATGCTAAAATCCATGTAGAAAAAAATCAACATGGGATTAAAACATTGTAAGTGGAGAGTGTGGCACCGCTGTCATAGAAATCAAACTATCAATAACATCACCTTATGCATTTCTATGATGAAGTAAATTGGATAGATTTTCCTATGCAATTTGGTGATTCTAAAATGTATATATGAGGAGCATATTAAAGAGGGCATTAGAGCAAAGGACAAGGGAAGCCGAGATTGGGCAGAGACTCTCTTTGTGCTGTACCTTAGATTCTAGATCACATCCTAGGTTGCTGACCTACTTCTCACACCACTGTAGATACTGTTTTCTCAAATTAAGACTATTTACTTGAGTTACATATTTTTAAAGAGTACTTGCCAGTCCAGTTTCTAAAAACATTAGTGAAGATATATTGTTTCATAAAATAACCACTAACTCAATAGTTATTTGAAAACAAAATTTCCAATTGTTGATAAAGACTCTCCCTTCCCCCTTTCCTAGAATACTATTGACTTGTGACATGTGACATGTGTCCAGAGTCCTCCACTGGCCAAATCTAGCCCACTCTCTCCTAGTTTAGGCCAGAATCATCATGCAATTAAGATTTCCATTTGCTATTACATCTGTTCTCAAAAGCTCCTCATGTTAGAGTTTCCTGTAACGTGGGTGCTTATTTGGAACACATAAAACAGGGGAAAATTAAAAAAAACTTCAAAAATACTGTGGAAGAAGAGAAGTTAGAACATAAAAAGTTGGGTTTCGTCTATTTTGCTTTGGAACACAATTGCTCAACAAATTTAGGAATTCCAGACATTTTTGAAAGCAGAAAACCATAAAGACTGAAAAGAATTAGAATTTTAAACAACTTTTGCTAAAAGGCAATTGTCCATCCAAGTTTTGTGTTCTACATAATTTTGGAAGCAACAATATTTCTAAAAATACTAATATTATTAGTTTGTGCCTATTATCTGAATCAAGTGGCATAAGTTTTAGATAATAATACATAACATATCATAAATCATTATTGTTACTATGAGCACATAATTTAATTTTCTTGGTTTTTGAATTTGTGAGCCAATAGTTTTCTAACTAATTTTCTGGATTTGGGATCACCCTCTACCTATGCATAAAATCCACATATACTATTCTGAGTCCTTGGGCAATGCCCATATTGCATATTTATGCATTAACACAATTAACTTGAATTGATGACCTACAAATGACTGAGTCATGTTTGAGTGATAACAACACTTGTCAATAAACATTGAATTATATTAATGTCATAACACTTTATTACTTTCAACATGAATTATGAATATATTTCTTTCTTTTGCTTTGGGGATGTACAACTCCTTGAAAGCAAGGGAAGTATGATTTAATTTATTCATTTTGCATGGGAAAGTATTAGAGGCAGAATTTTCTAAATATTTAAAGAAACTAAATCTAGAGAGAACAAACACAAATTTACTAGTGACTTTAGGCCTATATGCAAGTATTTTACAGTACATTTCATTATAAATTCATTGTGATAATTCAAATGTTGCATTATAAATTCAATGTGATAACTCAGATATTAAGCTGTTGATCTTTCTCAATAAACTAAAATCAATTAGGCAAATTAACTCCAAGCCAGACCATTCCCAACCAACCTAAAATAAATGATTCCTAGCATGTAAGAAAGGTGTTTCTGTGTTGATAACTGACATCATATTATACACTCTTCCTAGGTCAGTATTACTCATCTAATAAAAGGTATAATTTTAAAAGAATAAAACTGTCATTCCTTTAAAGCATACTGTTTTATGCTGCCTTATATTGAACACATTATCTAATTACTGAGTGTCTATTGCAAGGAAACAATTCAATTGCTGTTTAAGTGGAAGTATAAATTGGCAAAGTCTATATGGCAGGCGACTGTGCAAAATGGTCTGAAAACACTACTTTATCTTGGGACAACTACCACCACTCCTCTAGTCTTATGCTGAGACTCCAAATCAATAAAATTGCTAGGCAGATGCTAAACTATCCACCATAGGATTTTTGTAATAGGAAAACTATAAAATCAATTTATACTTCTCAATAATTCAGAAAATAAATTATGATTTACCTAACTCAATATCATGTGGCCAATAAATAAAAATCTTTAAAAGATGAAGAAAAATGGTAGTGAAAACAGGATGCCAATTTTTTATATATACATGATCATAACTGCAAATATGTGTCTGGAAAGTAAAAGACTAGCAGATTACCCACCATCTGGGAGGAGTGGGGCTGTCCACAACATCTTACTTTTCATTATTACACTTTCTGTATACTTGTATATTTAACTACTTTAAAAGAAATATTGACTTTTCAAAGAATTAATTCTGTGCCCCAAAATAAGTTCCCTTATAATTAAAATTCTTTACAATACTATTTGTTTACTGGTTGATAAAAGTCACCCCAGATGTCTATTCATGTTTTCTTGTGGGAATTGCCATTAATTGTTCTGTCGGAGATTTCCAGCATTTGGTGGATTCTTTCTCTTGTCTGGGTTGCATCTGAGAGTTAACATCCAGATGAACCTGTCAGAATTGCAGGTCAGCTTAGGGGTGCGAGTGTACAGAATCAGCGGATTGACTGGTAAATCTGGGAATCTACACTCAACATTTTCCGTAAACGTATGATCTATAGTTAGCACTGTAATTCCTACAACCTAGAGTCTTCTTTTCTTCACCCCCTCCTCTGCCTCTATGAGGGTGCTCCCCCACCCACCTACCCACTCCAGCTTTAGTGGGCTAGCATTCCCTACACTGTGTCATTGAGCCTCCACAGGACCAAGGGGATCCTCTCCCATTGTTTCCATATAAGGCCATCCTCTGTTACATATCCACTTGGAGCCATGGGTCCCCCACCATGTGTACTCTTTGGTTGGTGGTTTAGTCCCTGGGAGCTCTGGGAGGTCTGGTTGGTTGATATTGTTGTTCTTCCTATGGGGTTGCAAATCCCTTCAGCTCCTTTGAGACTGTAATCCTTATGCATCAAACTTTCTAGTCACATTGCTAATTAAGGCATGTGTTTCTTTATTCAATTAATAATATAAACTATCCAAAGGTACATAGTAAACTAGCTTAAGAATCCTTTCTTTATATACAAATGACAAAACTCTTTGAGGAGGAGGCACTAAGGGAAAGTATTTCTCTCCATCAGTGGTGTTTTCATTCTGTAGTTCATGTGGAATCTACATGTACCCAGAAGCCATTAGGGTCTGAGTGTTACATGTAAAGGTCTCAAACACAATTCCACCCAAGGCTTGAAAAGTCAATACTGTAAGGTTTTTTTCCTGTACTAAAACTTTGATGACTAATCATATAGAAATTTAACTAGACCTTATGTTATTTTATTTTTATAGACCTTATAAATGTCTTCAAAGATCTCCAATATTACAATATTATCTCTATAATTTTTAATAACAAAAAGAGTATGTGTGACCAATGGGCATATAAGAAGAAGACTAAGTTTGGGATAATTACTATTTGTGACGATGATATTAAAGAATCAGTTCACTTGGAGCCGGAATGAAGGTTAGGCTAAGGTTACATGCTTCCCTTTTGTTACACAAAGACAATAATATATTTTAGTCTTTTTCTTCTGCCTAGCTTGTAAGGAGCTCTTCCTAGGCAGGGTCATTTAAATAACAAGTTGTCATTACAGTACATCTTCCGATATAATTGAACTTGAGTTTGTCTCATAATCATTGTTTTATTTTTATTCTGCTGAACCTTGAGAGTGTTTTCTCTCAGTGCTTGTTTAGAAATAGTGTAGGGTTAGGCAAATGTAAATTAGTGCACACTTCTTTATTCTTACACTTCCCAATCACAAAACTATTCTAATGCACCTTAACCTTTACAATCCTCCAACAAAAGATCTCTTTAACCTCTGACTTGTACTCCGTCACATCCACTTTTCCTTGTTCATTCTGGAGGCCTTTAATGAAGTACCAAACAGATAGTACTATGTGGATGCCAAATGATGACTTATTTGAACTGAACCTGAATTACAAAGAAACAGATAATGTGAACTTGACATTTAGACTCGGAAATGCTAAAGCCATGCTATTCTTCTGTGAAAATAAATCTGCTGATTCTGAAGACTGAACATGGACTCATTTTACTGAACTCTAGGAAACAGTGTGCCCCATACAAATCATCATAAACTAAAAATAGAGCTAGGCTGGTGATGCACACTTGCAATCCAGATCTTGGAGGTAGAACAGAAAGATCACGAGTTCAAGGTCAACATCGAACAGATACACCAGTTCTACAGATGTCTAGGGTATATGACACTGCTTCAAAGGCTAATCTGGAAATGTAGTAACATTCTCAGCTTGCCTTTTAAAGCAGAGTCCACGTGAAGTTTTATTCTATTACAAATTTTTACCATAAGAAGGAGCAGAATATACCAAGCAAGAATAAAATACCAATGGTAACAAGGCTGAACTCACAGTCAGACCTGACAGCTTTAACTGTACTCATGTGGCAATTCAGACAATAACTAGAAATCTCATAAGTAGGAATCTATCTTATTGTTGCTTTCCCAGGTATCATTATTAGCAATGCCACTTCTCTTGGGCTTCACAATAAATAAGAAATCTAATAGAAAAATATCAGAAACATTACTGTTCTATAGCAAGCTAAAGCAACAGAGGAAAACAGGAGATCAACGGGAACCAGCATGTTTGCTGTGGGAGATACGGATCTTTCCAAGTGTTTAAAACCCGATTCCACCTCTATTTTTACTGTGGTCAGTAACAGCAGCA